TCCTTACGTGGTCCACTAGGATCCTACAACACACGAGAGTTCTTCTGGGGGGCAGCTAGTTTCTCTGTCTCATAAGATTGTCCCAAAAGCCTTGAACAATTCCTGGGATTCCCTCAGTGTCTCAACTGTCCTTCAGTCCCTGAACTAACCATTTCTAGCATGTCATTCTACCCACCAGCCATGGAAACCCCAGCCCACTGTCCCACGGTAGCTGGGGGTTGGACCCTCCTTCTGCGCCAGGCTGCAAAGAGCAGGGAACATGACATAAGACAGCTGTGTCAACTGAAAGACTATCCCCTTCCTGGCCTCGTTGAGCACCTGCCCTGTCTGACTTTAATAAGGTTAATTCTAATCCGTGGTCTTGCAGGAGGTGAGAAAAATCTCTCCTTTCTGAACATGACTCAGTGCTCCCAAAGCAGGGGAGTAACATCTCACTCAGCCGGTGTCTGAGAGCAGCTCTGGCTACGGAAACGGGCCCTTGGGCATTTGAAGGCCACGTTCTTCATCCCTCCCTCTGCCTCCTGCCACTCCCGTCTCTGTGATCCCCTGCTCCTACACTAGGAGGGCTTCGCACAATACTTTCGGGTACAACTAGTGATAAAAGTAATTGACTTACATCAAGTATTCCCCAGGTGCCAGGCTCCGTGTGAAGCATTTACGCGCATCGTTTCACTTATTACCCACGGAATATTATTCAGCGACGAAAAAGAATGAAATCTTGCCATTTGCAACATGGATGCACCTAGAAGGTATTAAGCTAAGTGTGACAAGTCAGACAGAGAAAGACAAACACCACATCATCTCATTTATGTGTGGTATCTAAAAAACCAAAACAAAGCAAAACAGATACAGACTCAGAAATACAGAGAACATGCTGATGGTTGCCACAGGGGAGGGGACGAGGGAAATGGGAATGTAAAAGATAAATTTTTAAAAAAGATATCCATGAAAGGGCTATCCGGTGTGAGACAGAACCAAAATCCAGGAGGTGAGTTTTATCACTGATTTCAATAAGCGGGTGCATTCCATTGGGCCCGCATAAGAGGGGGAGGCACTCAGTACTGGGCTCCCCCCCAGGAGGTTAAAGGGTCACCACCCACTTCCTACAGGACACACCGGCCAGTCTGGGGTGATGACAAGGTCTGTGTGCCCTGAGTCATTCTGAAGGATGCTACAATCCCTCCCACCAAAGATCCAGGCAAATGGGAGGAGAGGGCCAGCTGGGACCAGAGCCCCCTGACCCCAGCATCCGGGTTATGAGCCCCTCCTGCACCCTGGGTTCCTTCTGGCCTCCCCATGCC